CTGTGAAAGGGTCATTCAACCCCCAAAGGGGTCGCGACCCACAGGTTGAGAACCACTGGTCTAACATGACCTGCTCAGTAACACTGAGGACTCTGGATGAGACATATTGGTCAACTGCATAAAAACCAAGTACCTGAAACAAGATCATTATTTATTCACCTTTGAGTACAAACCTCAGGTAATTGTAACACCTGGAGCTGTTTAGAAAGCCAGGTACCTTTTTTTAAAAAATCTTAGTTATGAACTATTCTACTTGTTCTCTAGTATTTAAAAAAATACAAAGTTATTGGTATAGCACAAATTTTCCTTCACTAGTTAAGAATAATTCAAAGGCTATAGGACTATCCATGATAATTCTAGTTAATGAATTTAAATTTAAATGAGTTTATTGGGCTTTCAGAGACAAAGTTGTGTAATTTTTGCTACTCTTTTCCAGTAAGGTTTTTTTTGTTTGTTTGTTTTTTGTGTGAGAGGTATAGCCCATATGCATAAAGGGAGTTTTCCTTACAGGAAAATTTTCCACGTTGCCTGCACTTGCCTATTTTTACAGGTTTCTGAGCATTCTTTTCAGGAAAATATAATTCCTAGTACTTTTCAATTTCTAAAAATTTCTAACAATTTTTCTGAAAACACAAGTTAAATTAGCATGTGGCAGAAAGGTATATTTCACATACATAGTACTATACTAGTAGGTACATTATATTAAGAACAAATTCAACTGGAGCAGACCAAATGTTTGTCGGTCAAGTTGGGAAAATGCCTTGAATGAAGTTAAATAGGTTGGTGTGTCTCTGAAGAGCATAAATTGATTGTTTCAGGAAGATCCTAATATTACTTCTCATTCCTGGGTTTTGCTGGTAATAACTTTAGCAAAAGTATTTTGCTAATATAAGATCATGGCTTAATTTTTATAAGACTAAATAGAAGTTAGAATTAATGATGTGAGTGAAATTTAAGTTATGGACGGTCCTATAAACGATAATCTACCTTTTGAACTGCTTGAAGGAATAGTTACTAAATTAGTCTGATGACACGACACCTATTACTTGAGAAAAACACTTCATAAAGTTTTGTTTTTTCTTAAGTGGTCAAAGGCCATACAGAATCCACATAATAGGATGAAGATAAAGGATATCATTGAGAAGTCTTTTTGTTAGTTTAATAAGGGCTATCAAAATAGAACAATAAATAAGATTACTAGTAAAGAAAAAGCAAACGGGTAATGAAGAATAAGAAAATTAATCTTCCATTGTCTTGGGTGGAAGCTGCTTTTTCTGTAGTCAACAATGTGTTCCATCATCTTGGGTGGAAAATTTCTATAGTCAGAAGCTTCTGGATAATTCCTAAAAATCCTAAATTTAAAGTCAGAAGAAAGTATATGTCTTTTAAGTTGAGATCAACATCCCGGAGTTTTAGTAGGGTGTGGATGGTTAACATTGCCAGGTGAGCTGTATTCCATTGAGGCTTCAAGGCAGTTTTTTCTCTAATACCTCCTTTGGAAAATTCCATATCCAGGTTTCAGAATATGTAGAGTCTACTTAGGTAGGTGTTTTAGAAATGCAGCTTGCTGGTGAAAAAGCTGCAGGCATCATATGAATCTCCTGTAGCATTCTGTCATATCAGCTTGTAATAAGTTAGAACCTACTATTGGCAATAACATCCAAATGCATGAGGCAACCTGATTTTAATTCACAAAGAGACAACTTGCAATTTTAAGAAGAGATTGATCTTACTGCATCAAGGCTAATGGCAATAATTTAGGTATTAGAAATTTGAGGTTTTATAGAGCTTTGATAGTTATAGCCTTAGAATTTTGTGTGTTCTCATTTTTCCCGGAGTCGTAGATAAAGATAGTGAAGACTTTGGTAAAAGATAAAGCAAGAATGAGATAGATGTAAAAGATAAAGTAAGAATGAGTAGATAAAATACCCTGTATTTTTATAATGCCTTTCTCTCTCTCCTCTCTCTCTCTCTCTCTCTCTCTCTTTCCTTTCTTAAGGAGCTTGAATTGATGTATGTTATTCAGGTATGTGAAAGATGCTCAACACCACTAATCATCGGGGAAATGCAAATGAAAACCATGATGAAATATCACTTCACACTTGTTGAAAGGAACACAATTTAAAAAAAAAAAATAGGTGTTGGCAAGTTATAAAATTTCAGTTATACAACAGGTATAAAACTTCAGTTAAACAAAATAAAATTTTTTTCTGGAGATCTGCTGTACAACATTGTGCTTATAATGAACAATGCTGTTCTGTACACTTAGAAATTTTTTAAGAGGGTGGATCTCATGTTAAGTGTTCTTACCACAATCAAAAAAACTTTCAGTAAGTAAACCTACTGGCTAATTTGGTTAATAGCACAAGACCATTGGGAGCAGGACCCTGTATGTTGTGACCCTCTGGTTGCAGAACAAGGCTCCTATCGTAGTAAGTGCTAAAAAAATAGATGCTGAAAAAAATGAAAAAAAAATTCAGTGCATACTTTTATGGATACATTTTCACAATATATATTTTTTAATTCCCAAAAAGCGTATAAACATGACTTCCCAAAATGTTGTCTTCTGAGAACTTTTGACATAGACTGCTTTAAAAATTAAAATATATCCATTACTTATAACAAGAGAGAATAAAATAAATAGCTCTCTAATAAGAAAGGAAGCAATTTCCCAAAGATTATTTGACACAATCCTTCTGTAAGTAGCATCTTTCTCACTAGAGGGAGCACAGAACACACTGATCAATGGCAAGAGAAGCTGAATAAAAAGCCGTTTCACTTTAGGGGGAAATGGTCTGTTTGAGTATATATGACATCTATTTCCAGAAACTGGGAATTTTTCATATGTCAATTTTCTTCAATTATTAACCGCTGAAATTTTAAATTGTACAAAAGGCGATTAATGCAAAGCTTCCTAATAGTCAATAAGTTAGCATTGTAAGTAAGTATACTGTGGGTCTAATAAGAGATGTGGCATTATCCTTGTTCTCTTATGAGAACATATTCCTGGCGTTCATGAGAAAGAGCAAATACTATAAGGTAGTGATGATTATGGCTACCCAGAAAGGCTGTTTGAGGAAATTCTTGTTCTCTGGCTGCTCTTTTCCTGTTTCCATGTATAACCCTGCGAGGCATTTTAGCCTTTAAAGTTGCACCTTCTTGGGTACATTTGAGGAAGAGGTCTCTCTCATAGCCAGTCCTAAGCCAGTGTGTCCAGCAGCCTGTTTCTATCTCCTCTGGCACTCTCAGCTCCAAAACTGAGGAGACATCAAGAAGGTGCTGCCACCACCCTGACCTCAGGGGCCAAACCCTTCATTCCCACTAAAGACCGTGGAAGAAAGTTTCACTAAAGGCTTGGGAGGTGAGAGGGGGGAGTGGGGCAGCACTATATCTTAAAGTCCCTGTCCCTTTACCCTCTGCAACTGGGAACTTCTCCCTGGCCATCATTATTCCTCAGGTTCCATCCCACTACCATCCCCAGGATGTAACACCTTACTCTACCCTTTGAAAATTTTCCCATTTCTCTTGATCTTGGACTAGAGTTCCAATATTTCCTATGCAAGTATGTCCCCAAATATTAAATGGGACATACCTTAAAAATTCCTCACTTATCTGAAATTCAGATTTTATTAGACATCCCCTCCACCCCCACCCCCACCCCCACCCCCGCCTGCCCCTAAATGTAACAACCCCAGAGCATTTACTCTTCTTTCCCTGGGGTCAGGGGAGGACGCCCACGGTTTCCCCCTTTATTAAACAACTTCTGTTTCTTTCGTCCCCTCCCATCCAGGCCACACCCAGAGAAAACCACTTATCTCATTTCTCTCCCTTAGGACAAATATTTGGCTTATGTTTTAAATAGCAGAGTTCTTTTCTGTCTGTCCCGGTAATCTATCACCTGTTTGTTAACATATTTGCAGCCTCCAACAAGTTGCAGGGATCAATTTGTTCTCGGGTTTCAGAATAGCGTCATCCACACATTTAGTCCATTGAATTCATGTTCACTCCGTCTTCATATAGTAAGTGCTGGCCATCAAGATGCCTAAGAGAAGGGTCTGTCTGCGGAGGCAATGCGGTTTAAAACCAGCAGCTGTCCCACATCGGCGGATGGCTCTGAACCTCGCTGAAAACACTGAAGTCACATTTCTCTTGGACGTAGATTGTAAATGGGTGACATTTGAAGGGAAAGGACAGCCTTCTGGAACGCCAACGTCACACATATTTTTCTTAAATTTCTCCCTTTCTGAGCAAAGTGTTTGGAAATGTATCCCTTAAAATAATCCTTTCTATGAACCTTTTGGAAAGTCTTGCACTTTAAAACAGGAAAGGAAACATCAGGAGTATGAGCCGAATCCCAGCAAGAGGAATTGAACTAAATGTTTGTTTGCCCCACAGGGATATATGGTCAGAGGCACCGAAGTAAGAATGGGTTTACCAAGGGGACCAACCACTCTGAGTCCATGGTGAGAGAACTCTCTCTTCCTCCCGCTCCCCCCGCATCTTTCTAAATTACACCCCTTTTTCAGATACAGTTTGTTTTCTTGTGGACCGAAGCGTTTAACCAGGTTCTATGGATGCCTAGAAGCAATCATAAGATTTTCACTTATTTGTACACCTATCGTTTATATGTAGATCTTACTGTTCAGCTTGCAGAAGCAATACACACACATCCCACACTTCTTTTTGTTTAATTCCTGGTTAGAGGGAGAACTTCACTCTCTCCAGAAAGCAGGAAACAGAGACTGGGTTCCAGGCCGGGACGCGGGCAGAGCGATTCCCAGGCAGGGTGGCACCAGGACACCTGGGAGTGCTGCTCTCCAAGGCACTGAGTGCGGGCGCCAGGGGGAACCTGCCGGCACCACCCGCACGGGCCGGCCTCCCAGCGGGAACACAGCCTCCCGGGTCCCAGGTCCACCCACTCCCAGGAGGCAAGGCACGCATGCGCAGAGCGAAGAGGGCGTGGCCAGTGCGCGGAGCGGGCGCGCGCAGGCAGTGGCCGGCGGGAGGCGGGGGCGCGCGCGGCGTCGTCCGGCGGTGACCTGGTTGGCTGCGCCGGAAGTGGGCGCGCGCGGGGCTCCCAGGTCTCGGCCATGGCTCACAGGCCGAAAAGGACCTTCCGGCAGCGTCGAGCCGACTCCAGTGACAGCGACAGCGCGGAGGAGCCGTCGGTTGAACCCGGGGCGCCGGGGGAGCAGGCAGTCCCGGGCCCTGCGGAGGAAGGGCCGCCCCCTGAAGGAGGCAGCGCGGAGGCAGCAGCAGAAAGGCCCCTTCGCGTCCGGGGCCCTCGGGGCCGGGGCCGGGGCCTGGTCTGGGCCACTTCTCGGCGCGCGGCCCCCGGAGCTGCTCCCCGAGCGGACGGCGGCTCGGGCGCCCCAGGTGACTTGGGACGGCGGGGCGGGCGCCCCAGGTGACGGGGTATGGCGGGGCGGGGAGAGGCCACTAGAGGTTTCTGTAACCCGCTGCTGACCACGAGCGACGCGCAATCGTGGGATGGTGAGCGCGTCGGCCGGCCCGCAGCCCGCATCTCCCCTTTGGGCGCCCGGGGGGAGTAGAAGGGACCCAGCGCGGTTTGGAGGCACATCTGCACCATCAGATGAACCATCACCAGTTATAGCTTTAGTGCAGGACTTGCTGTTTATCTTAAATCGTCACAAAAGAGTTATTTGCGAAAACTGAGATAAAAATAACTATATATATATATATATATATATATATATTCAGTAACGGTACATTGATGATACTGTGGACTGTGTCAATAAAGGCGTGAAATACAGTGCAGTAATTTTTAAGTACCTATGTGTTCCTAAGTATAGGATTCAGGCAGCATAAATGTGTTTGCATAGAATGTGTGTTTTTCTACTCTATGTAAGTCATCTTGTCACCAGAAAGGGACTGGTTCTGGAATGGGTCTGCCCCTGCCATGGTCTGGAACGTGTGGGTTCTTGATTTCGTAGGACAGGAGTCCAGGTGATTTTGAGAGTGTGTTTATTACACGTGGAGCAGAGAAACAAAAGAAAGGCTTAAGGCAGACGAGGCAAGATCACAGCAGCAGGAGTGAGCCCAGCCTGGGCTGCGTGGACTCGGGGAACGCGTTCCCCAGGCAACAGGAGAGCCCTTGGAGACAGGTGCAGAGCGGCTGCAGCCTGCTGCTCTCCTGGTTGCAAGTGCCCTGGTTGCAAGAGAGAGCACACACTGGGTCCTTCGTCTTAAGGGTTTTTATCTGTTTTCCAAAGGCCAGAGATTTAGGGGAGGTTTAACAAGTGGCTCTCAATAGAAGATTCAACAGCTTTTCTGGTGTGTCCTTTGATATATGCTGATGAATCAAAATGAGCCAGTAGGGGAATGTGGGACCGTTTCTCTGGTCAGCTTCACTGCTTTACTTTTATCTTGAATTTGTTTGTCCCTAATTGGGTTTTGGTATTTATCATTCCCTGACACCCCCACCCCCCACCCCCATGAAATTTAGTTGAAAGCCCTGCTTCTCCACTGGTTAACTTTGTGACTTTGGACGTGTTATTTAGCCTCTCCAGTCCTGATGAGGACACTAGTTCTCCTCAGTAATAGCACTTACTTTATAGAATTGTGAATATTAAATGAAGTAAACTATATAAAACAAATTCCAATGTGCCTAACACATTCTAAGTGCACATTCACTTTGTTGTTTTATACTTATTCACTACAACTATTTTTTTTCTTTTTTGTTTGTTTTCTCTGGTGTTCCCTTTCCTCTTCTCATTGCATCCTTTAAAGGAGTATTGTACTCCTTTAAAGGAATACAAGTAGGGTAAGTCTTTGTATATTTTTTAGACCATCCATTGGTTTCAGAGAGAATGGAAGTTGGAGAAAGATCTGTATGTCTACTTTAAGTTTGTGGAGTAAAGTTAGAACACCATATTATACATATGCCATGGTGTTGCTCAGAATTTTAATTATTGATTCTAATATCCTGTCTCTTTTTGTTACATTAAAAAATATTCCGTTAGAATGCAGAACAGTTGATCTTTCAACAGATGAAGAGGATGGAACATACGATGCCTCAGAAACTAAGGATGATCAGAGTTCATCTTCCAACAGCTCTAGCTCTCTGGAAGAAGAATTTTCATCAATAGGTTGGTAATTTTTGTGATTGTTGTTTAAGAACTTTATTTCTAATATCAGTATTTTCTGTACCATTAATCTTATTATTAATAACATAAACTGTAGTCAAGTATGAGGCAAGTAGGTCATTACTAATGATGGTCAAAGTTTCTGACCATTACATTTCTATTACATAACATGCCCAAGGTCAGACAGCTAATAAGAAGCACAGCTAAGATTCAAACCCAGTCACTGCCCTAGAGCCTATGCCTTTTTTTAAAAAACATGTTTTTTATTGATTTCAGGAAGAGAGAGACAGAAACATCAATGATGAGAGAATCCTTAATCCGCTGCCTCCTGCAGGCCCCACACTGGGGATCGAGCCGCATCCTGGGCAGGTGCCCAGACTGGGAATCAAACCATGACCTCCTGGTTACATATTGGTTTCCAGTTACTGCCACGGACCAGAAGTAGCACTTCCATAGCTAATGCTTCATAGCACTTTTTGTTTTTCTTAAGCACTGGTTATTTGAAATCCCTCTCTTTTTTTTTCTGTTTAAAAAATTGGAACATTTCTGCATCTCCAGGAATTTCACCTTTTTGTAAATTTACTTTCAAAGGAATTTGGACCAGTCTGTGGGAAAGGTTAGAAAATAATTACTTAAGCCTCAATGACTTGACACCCCTCATTAATATTTTGAAGTGCTTGAAATGGTAAAAATTTCTCTTGCCATTTTGTTTACCTTAGTATTTTGCTGATGAAACCATTTCTTCCCACCGTGTAAAGATTAATTTCAGTTTAGATCATGCATGAAGAAACGTGTTTTGAATTTAAAGAGTCCAAATTAATAAGGTTTATACTGTATAAAATAAAGAAAAATAAAACAAAGCTCTATTTAAAAATGTTACTTAAATATTTTTTCACCTGGTAAATGAACCTGATTATCTCCTGTGCACTTTTTAACATCTCACATTTATTCACATGGGAATCACCACACTACCTTGAAGGCTACCTTGGCTCTGTGATGATTGTAGTATGTTTCTCACTTCCCTATATGCCTGGATGTCCAATGGAGAGGGGTGGATCATAGTATAGTGTCCCTGTTACTTTGTATGTCAAACTAGTCTATCACCAACTAACCTGTTTCTTCCTGGCTGAAGAAACAAGTACATATTTAATTTATTTACAATACATGAACATTAAGTCTTTGTATTAGGTCTATTACCAACTAACCTCTTCAGTTGTAACTGACTGAGCAACTCCTGCTAGGCCCTCTCCCATCTCTACCCTGACAATTCAGAGCTTCTGGAAATGAGAAATGGCTAGCCCTCAATAAAAAGTCAGCAACAGCACCTGATGACTAAAGAATTAAAAGATATATTGGAGTGGTTTCAGTGTATTATCTAATACTTCTTCATTTGGTTCATTTAAAGATAAATTTTAAAAATTAAATAAAAATTATTTAATCTCTGTCAAAATAGTTTTCTTCTATTACAGAAGTATACTGTCATTTACATTCATATCAAAACAGTGAAAAAAATTTGAAAACCAGTTTGTTTTTTTTACTGTGAAGAATATTTATATCTGTTGGTTTTTGGTTTTTAATATCCTCCTCTTTGTTTCTTTTAGTAAATATCCCTGATGCAGCTTTTATTCAGGCAGCCCGCAGAAAACGTGAATTGGCCAGGGCCCAAGAGGACTATATTTCTTTGGATGTAAAACATATTTCTACCATTGCTGATACGAAGAAAGATAGTGATGAAGATCCTGAGAGTGAGCCCGATGACCATGAAAGAAGAATACCATTTACCCTAAAGCCTCAAACACTTAGACAAAGAATGGCTGAAGAAACAAGTACATATTTAATTTATTTACAATATATGAACATCAGGGCTTTTTATTAGGATATAATATTATGATTAAAATCTCCATAAAAGCATAATGTAGTGTCTCATAGTCTAAAGCCGTGGTCAGCAAACCATGACTCATGAGCCACATGAGCCACATGTGGTTCGTGAGCCATGGTTTGCCGAGCCGCAGTTTGCCCACCACTGGTCTAAAGGATATTAAAGTGTTTTTTATTTAATACCAATTTGGTCCATGACATCATGACCTCTAAAAGACATGTTTGTATCAAAATTTTATCAAAGGGTATTATAATATTATTTACTACTAGAGGCCCAGTGCACGGATTCGTGCACGTGGGGTGCGTGGCCTTCAGGGATTGGCCAGCTGTGGGAGCAGCCACTCATCCCAGTCAGCCAAACGATGCTCCCACTATGGGAGCTCACTAACAACCAAGGGGCAGCTCCTGCGTTGAGTGTCTGCCCCCTGGTGGTCAGTGCACATCAGAGTGACTAGTCAACCAGTCATTCTGTTCTGGTTGTTCCGCCGTTCGGTCGCTGGGCTTTTATATATATAGACTAGAGCAGCAGTCGCCAACTGGTGGTCCGTGAGGTTCGAAAGTTTGGCGACCGCTGGACTAAAGGCCCAATGCACAAAATTTGTGCATGCGGGAGGGGGGTCCCCTCAGCCTGGCCTGCGCCATCTTGCAATCCAGGACCCCTTGCTCCTAATTGCCCGCCTGCTCACTCCTTACCACTTGGCCCGTCACTCCTTACTGCCCGCCTGCTCGGTCCTTACCACTTGGCTCACTGCTCCTTAGCGCTGCCGTCGAGGCCGGAGAGGCTCCTGCCACCGCCGCTGTGCTCGCCAGCCATGAGCCCAGCTTCTGGCTGAGCAGTGCTCCTGCTGTGGGTACGCACTGACCACCACGGGGCAGCTCCTGCATTGAGTTTTGCCCCCTGGTGGTCAGTGCATGTCATGGCGACTGGTCGTTCTGGTTGTTCCGTCCTAAAGGTCACTGGGCTTTTATATGTATAGTAGAGGCCTGGTGCACAAAATTCTTGCACAATTAGGGTCCCTAGGCCTGGCCGGCTATAAGAGCCGATCTGCGGGGCTACCAGTGGGACAATTGGGGGGGCCTTGGCTGGCCTGGGGCATGTGGGCTGAGGGCAACTCCTGCATTGAGCATCTGCCCCCTGGCTGGTCAGTGCGCATCATAGCGACCAGTCATTTGCTGTTCAGTTGATTAGCATATATTGGGCTTTTATTATATAGGATAGATCATTTGATCTCCACTTGATCTTTTTGACAGGTTAAAAAAATTTCAAAGTCTTATTTTTGGTATTGAAAACTTTCATTGTCACCTTTATAAAGATGTGTTTTTATTGATTTTGTGGTGTTTGGTTTTTTTAGAGTGAAAGGGAGAGGGGCGGGAGAGAGAGAAACATTGATTAGCTGCCTCCCACACACAACCCAATTGGGAATTGAACCTGAAAACGGCATATGCCATGGCCAGGAATTGAACCAATGACCCTTCAATGCACAGGACAATGCTCAACCAACTGAGCCATGCTGGCCAGGGCATATAAAGATTATTTATTAAACGTGTAACATCTTCAGGGATTTTAGGTGTCAGGTATTAAAATCTTCCCTGCTATAATAAACAATTTCCTCAAGCAATAATCTTTAGATCTCAAAGGACCATTTTTACATTTCTCATTTATAAACAATATTACGTTTTGCCAACATTTTTGTTACTTCAGATACTATTATTTCAGAGTGAGAGTTGGTTCCTTGTAACCCAAAAATTATTTTTAAATATTTAGATTCTCATGCAGAATTGAGAAACTGATAAGAAAAATCAAATGTTTCTTTTTTTTTTTTCCAGGCTTTATTTTTTATGAGTCTATGATGTTTTGAGTGGGGCAGTTGGGTGATGAATACAGTTTCTGGAATTAAATTGAGAGATTCAAGGCCCAGCTTCAACACTGTCTTCAGACAAGTTATTTAACCTTCTAATAATTGTGTTTTCTCATTTACAAAATGAGAGTAAATATTGTGAAGAATAAGTTAACACATCTAAAAGGCTGCTAAGCCAGCACATAATAAGCCCCCCAAAAACATTAGCTGCTGTATTAGACTTGGAAAAATACTGAATATTTATACATGAACTGTTGTTTTTTTTCCTAGCAACCGGAAATGAAACAAGTGAAGAAAGTCAGGAAGATGAAAATCAAGATATTTGGGAACAGCAGCAAATGAGGAAAGCAGTTAAAATCATAAAGGTAATATTTTTTTATGTCATGTATTAAGTTTCCTGTGGCTCCTATAACAAATTGCCACAAATGTGACAGCTTAAAGCAAGAGACGTTTATTCACCCACAGTTGTGGCGTCTGGAAGTCTGAAAACAAGGTGTTGCAGGGCTATGCTCCCTTTGAGGGCTCTCAAGGAAAATGCCTTTTTTGCCTTTTCTACAGGGATAAACTAGAACACACCGTAGAGGGCTTGCACCTCCAAGTGTTCCTTGCTTTGCGACTACATTACTCCTTTGCCTTCTTCACATGGACTTCGCTGTGCTTCTACACCAGTGGTTCTCAACCTTGGCTACATATTAGAATCACCTGGGAATCTTCTTAAAATCCTGATTTCTGGGCCTCATCCTCCGGAAATTCTGTTTCTTTGTTATGGGGTGGGGCCACAACATTAGTAACAAAGAAACAGAATTTCCGGAGGATGAGGCCCAGAAATCAGGATTTTAAGAAGATTCCCAGGTGATTCTAATGTGCAGCCAAGGTTGAGAACCACTGTTCTACAGTGTCTCTTGTAAGGACACTTGATGGATTTCAGGCCAACTTGATAATTTAGGATGATCTCACTTAATTGAGATGCTTCACTTAATTATACCCCACACAGACCCTTTTTCCAAGTAAATTCATATTTGCAAGTTCCAGGGGTTAGAACATAGACATATCTTTTGGCAGGCCACCATTTAACTCACTACACTATGTACATACATGCTTTTCCCACTAGATTTTAAACACTTTCCACATATTTATTACAAGCTACTTGAATGTGTCTTTATCTATTTTTATTTATGATTTCAGAGAGGAAGGGAGAAAAAGAAAGAGATGGAAATATCAATGATGAGAAAGAATGATTAATCAGCTGCCTCCTGCATGCCCTACCCTGGGATCAAGCCCACAACCGGGGCATGTGCCCTGACCGGAAATCAAACTGTAACCTCCTGGTTCATGGGTTGATGCTCAACCACTGAGCTATGCTGGCTGGGCTGTATCTTCATCTTTAATTGTATAGTAACTGACAGTACTAGTATATAGTATATGGTAGGTTTCTTAAATGTGAAGTTTAAACAAATGGGTTTAAAACAAAACTCACAAACAAAAAGAATATTGTACTTGGGATCAGAAGTTCTGAATTTGGGTTCTAACACTACCACTAAAATATACGTTCCAGCCCAGCCAATGTGTCTCAGTGGTGGAGTGTCAACCTAGGAACCAGGAGGTCATGATTTGATTCCTGGTCAGGGGTTTCTGGCTCCATCGCCAGTATGAGGTGTACAGGAGGCAGCCAGTCAGTGATTCTCTCTCATCACTAATGTTTCTCTCTCTCCCTCTCCCATTCTCTCTGAAATCAAAAAAAAATTATATTTAAAAAATTAAATATACGTCCCATGAAGTTAAGAATTATTAACTATCTTGTTCAGTGTTACATCCCCCAGTCCCTGGTATTGTGAGTGCTCTATAAATATTTATATGACTTTGAGCAAATTATGTAATTGTTCTAAATCTCAGTTTTTTAAATCAATAACATGGGAATGATAATGTTACTTAACTGAGTAGTCTGTAATGCTCAAAATTACAATGATCTAAATCACAGTGCTTATAAAAGGTTTTATTTAATCTTTTAGTAAAAACTAAGAAAGTATTATAAAAATCTCCATGTTATTAAAACTAAAAAACTAAGTAAAGGTTGGTCTTTGGTTGTAATTTAGAAGTTTCTGACCAGGGAAATGATTTAGAAGGCTATTTATGACTATAACAGGCTTAGTCCTATTTTCCTCCCCTCCCCCCTTTTTTATTAAAATTAGTATAACAACATTAAAAAAATACTTTTGAGGAAAAACATGCCACAGTACTTATTCTTAACTACTCAAGTTTGCATAATTCCTTTTTACTTTAGATAATAAACCAAACTAGCTTTAAAAACACCGAGAACCATGCTTTTGTGAAATATAAAATTTGTGCCCTGTCCGGGTGGCTCAGTTGGTTGAAGTATTAGTCCATACACCAAAAAGTTTCAGGTTCGATTCTTGTTCAGGGCACACACCTAGGTTGTGGGTTTGATTCCCAGTCAAGTGCATATGGAAGACAACCAATCAATGTTTCTTTCTCTATCTCTCTCTTCCTCTTTCTTTAAAAATCAATTTTTTAAAGCCATGTCCTCAGGTGAGGATTAAAGAAAAAGAAAAATAAGATTTTGTAATTTGCTGCTTATATGTTAACTTAAACTTCTTTATTTGAAAACTGAGAATTTAAAAATATTCTATTGTAACTATGAAAAATGCCAATGGCATAGAATTTTAAATTGATCTAGTGAAACCTTGAAGCATATAATCTGCTTTTATGTTATTAATAATTGTAAGATTAACGAATGTTGAAAACTAATTTTAATATTGTTTTTAGGGAAGAAACATAGATCTTTCTCACAGTAGTGAATTTCAAACAGTGAAGAAGTTCGATACTTCCATTTCATTTCCACCAGTAAATTTAGAAATTATAAAGAAGCAATTAAATAGTAGGTAAGTAATATTCATATTAAAATTTACACTTGTCCTAGATACTTAATAGTGAAAAGTTAGCACTATATGTATATTATTTTAAACTATTAAATACAAGTATTAATCTTAGATTGATAGGAAAAATAGCATCACCTATGTTACCACACTAGCAAAACTGATTTCTTTTTTCATATATGTCTTTTTAATCTTTATAAGAGGTATGTATTACATGGCTACATTCAATAAATTTCAAATTCTGCGGGGTAGGATATTTTTCCATTGATTTTTAGAGAGAGTGGGAGAGAAAGATCGATGTGAGAGAAACACATCGATTGGTGGCCTTCTTCACATGCCCTGATCAGGGCCCAGGCTGGGGAAATTCTGTGGGTTTTTTTACTTAGTGTTGTTATAAACATTTATCTGCATTGTTAAATAGCCCTTAATTTTTTAAATATTATATTGGGAGTGATGACACCAAGGTGCCAGAATACAAAACTCTAGATGTTATTCCTTCATAGAGATACCAACTTAACAACAATATGTGTTTTAAAAGCCTTTTGAGAACACCAGAAACCAGTTAGGAAGTCACAGTACCCCAGGTAGGCTCAAAGCCAAGAATAGTCACATTGTAGTGGGTAAAAAAAGCCATTTCATTTCATCTGCATCAGCCCCTCCCATAAGCCATCACTCAACTCATGGCTTCTCCATTGGAAGGGAAAAAGAAGAGTGGAACATACATCCAACATTCTTTCTTTTAGGGAGACTGCCCAAAGGACTAATTTCTGCCTTGTCTATCTTGGAACACTAATGGGGAACTGTCATACCTTGAATGCCTGGGGCCACAGAAGATAAAATAGAGTTCAGTGGCTTACTGCAGAGCCAGCCAAAGGGAACAAGAGACTATGAACTCCTGACAAAGAAATCCACAAACCTCTGTATTTGGGAAATTTCATGTAGAAGCCCAGAGAAGATGCATCCCCCTTAAAAAGTTTGAGAAAACACCCTCTCCCTAAAGAATCTCTAGCCAGGCTGATTGGTGAAGTTCCTCTCCAGTACAAAGCATTTTCAAATACACAAAACAAAACAAAAATAAAAAACACATTCAAAAACGGAGAAATTGCTCAAAGAAACAAAGTAGATCTTCAGAACCAATCCTGAAGAAACAGAGATCGTGAATTACCTAAGAATTTATACTAATCCTCTTAAGCTCAGTGTGCTATAAGAGAACACAACTAAATGAACTCAAGATAATACATAAACAAAGTTAGAATATCAACAGAGAAACTATAAAAAAAACCATTCTGGAGATGAATACAGTAATTGAATTGAGAAGCTTGCTAGAGGAGATCAATGGGCTTGATCAAGCAGAAGAAAGAAACAGTGACTAGTAAGACTGGTCATTTGAAATTATCAAGTCAGAAACAAAGGAAAAAGAATAAAGAAAAGTGAAGAAAGTTTAAGGGATTCATAGAACACCATCAACCAGAACAATATATACATTATGGAAGTCCAAGAAGAAGTAGAGAGGCAGAATCGGGCAGAGAGTTTATCCTATATAATAAAAGGGTAATATGCAAATTGACCCTAATGGCAGAACAACCAGGAATGACCAGTAGTTATGACGTGCACTGACCACAGGGGGAGTGCCGCTCAGCCAGAAGCCAGCTCATGGTTGGCCAGCATAGTGGCGGCGGTGGCAGGAGACTCCCGCCTCTGCAGCAGTGCTGAGGATGTCCTACCCACAAGGAGTAGGTCTAAGCTGTTAGTTGGACATCCCCCAAGGGCTCCCAGGCTGCCTGAGGGATGTCTGACTGCCAGCTTAGGCCCAATTCCCCTAGGAGCGGGCCTCAGCCAACAGGTGGACATCCCCAAGGGGTCCCGGACTGCAAGAGGGTGCAGGCCAGGCTGAGGGATGCCACCGAATGCACGAATTTTCATGCACCGGACCTCTAGTGAATATATAATGACCAGAAACTTTTAACAATCTGTGGAAGGAAATGAATTTCAATAACTTCAAAGGACTCCAATGAGATGAAGCCAAAATGACTTACACTGAGACACATTATAATAAAATTTTCTAAAGGCAAACAATTTTGAAAGCTTCTAAAGCACCTTATCACAAACAAGGGAGCCCCATAGATTTCTCAACAGAAACAGGCCAAAATGGAGTAGGATGATATATTCAAAAGTTCTGAAAGAAACTGCCAACTGAGAATACCACATCCAGCAAAACTGTTCTTCACATATGATGAAGAACTACAGATCTACTCGAATAAATAAAAACTGAGGAAGTTCATCACCACTAGATCTGCCTTAGAAAAACTGCTATGAGAAGTCCTTCAAATTGCAATGAAAGGACCCTAGACAGCACAAAGCATACACAAATATAAAGTTCTCTAGTAAAGTTAAATATATAGACAAACAGAATTCTGTAATACTGTAAGGGTGGTATGAAAATTACTTTTAATTCAGATATAGAAATTAAAATATAAAAAAACAACTATGTTGAGTGTTTCCTTCCACGACTCGCGTGGAGTAGGGTTCGGTATCTGAAAGAGGAGCCACACAGCAAATGAGAGAAAAAGACACGAGATAATTTTGCAATATTGGGGGACCAGGCGGCAAGTCCCTAAGGACTTCTCCTCTGTGCTCAGGCCTCACCAAGCTTTTATTGATCTGGGATGCCCCTATAGCATAGCCCTAGGCAGGTGACCCCCTGCAACAGGCAGACTAGCCCATCAGCAAGGATTTACATAATAATAAATGGGGGAGCAGTTTCAGCTACCACTGTCTGGACAAACAGAGGTGGCGCCTAGCTCCGACCTTTGGGAGGGCTTCAAAGGCACCCAGCCTTCGGGGGGTTTCGGGGAGTGCTCTGTCTATGCTTATCAGATAGTGAAGGCAATAAACAGTTTCCCACACAACTATATATTAATGAATATAAAATTTAAAAATGTAATCTAGGACTTTAATAATAAGTGGAGGGGAAGATGTAAAGGAGAAATTTTGTATGTGATTATTACCAAGTTAGTAGATTATTACAACTTGAAAATGTTTTGTAGCCCTAGCCAGTTTGACTCAGTGGATAGAATCTCAGCTGCAGATTGAAGGGTCCCGGGTTTGATTCTGGTAAGGCCACATACCTCGATTGCAGGCTCCTCCCCTTCTTGGGCCCTGGTTGGGGCTCATGTAGGAGGTAACCAATGGGTATGTTTTTCCTCACATCTAGTTTTCTGTCTTTCCCTCTCTCTTCTACTCTAAAAATCAATGGAAAAATATTCTCGGGAAGATTTAAAAAATAAATATATACATACATACATACGTAAAGTGTTTTTGTAATCCCTGTGGTAAATACAAAGGAAATACCTATAAAAGAGGCACAAAAAAAAATGAGAAAAAACTCCAGAGCATATCACTACCACCCTCTCCTCTCCCCCCCCAAAGAAAGCAAGGTAGAAAGACAGAAAAAGAGAGACAAAATTGATATAAAATGGTTTACAAAATGGCAGTAGTAACTCCTTCCATTGCAGTAATCACTTTATATATAAATGGATTAAACTCTACAATCAAAATACTTCCAGTGGCTGAATGAATTAAAAAATAAAAAAAATAAGATCCAACTATTTGCTTACATTAAAGAAGGGATATCTCAAATCAACAATCCAATTTTACACTTCAATGAATTAATTAAACCTAATTGCAGACCCTAGCCAACCATAATTTTTCTGGCTATGGTTTCTATATCATATAGTTTTACACTACATTATCTACCAAATATAGAATTATATGATCCAGCAGTCCCACTTTTGGATACATAGACAAAAGGATTGAAAATAATTGGAGAGCTATTTGCACATCCATGTTCATTACAGACCTTAATTGTAATAACTTAGAAGTGGAAGCAACCAAGTATTCATCAACAGTTGAATAGATAAAGAAAATGTGGAGGTGTCCGAGCTAACATGTGAACACCGGGAACGGGTAGGCCTAACACACGAACACTGGGAATGGGTCCTGCTCCTACAGGGGCCCTGGCCTGGGAGCTAACGTGCGAACACCAGGAATTTGTCCCGCGAAGCGCGGGCCCAGGGACCCCGATTCTCTGGGCAGGAGGCAGCACCAAGCACCAGTGACTTGACTGTGTTTCTCATCACCTGCACCTGGGATCTTTGATTCCCTGTGCATTCATACTAAGAGCCAGTGACTCCAATTCTTGGTGCATGGGCACACAGGGACCCTGATTCTTAATGCGAGGTCACGCGAAGCAACAGAGACTCTGATACTGGATTCTTGGGGAACTCTGACTCCTAGTGCATGCTAGGGAGCTCTGATTTTCAACACGCTCCAGGGGGGTCTCTGTTTCAGCATGGTGCAGGCAAGGTCTCTGATTCTAAGGACGCACATGAGGCCACATTGAGCACTGGCAACACTGACTCTGAGCAAGCCTGGTTCCCACCAACCCACAACAACCACACATCTTAGTGTCAGAGCTCTTCAGTGACACTAGGGTGGTGTGAGGCTCCCACTGCACACGGCCCAGGCCCACGCAACTCAACGTTTGAACCATTGGGAGATAATCAGAATGAAGAGACGACACAACACCCAGAGGAAAGAAAATGAGGAGTCGCCAAGAAAGGAAATTAATGAAATTGAAGCATGCAACATGACAGAAAAAGAATTCAGAATAATGGTTGTACAATTCATTCACCAGATGGATGAGCAAATCAACAACCTATGCAAGAATCAGGAAGAAATGAAAAGTGATATAGCTACAATCAAAAACACCATGGAAGGTTTCAACAGCAGAGTAGAAGAAGCAGAGGACCAAATTAGTGAGTTAGAAGATAAGGTAGAGAAACAAGCTCAATCTGAACAGCAACTGGAGAAAAAAATTAAAAAGCAGGAGGAGAGCCTAAGGGAGCTTTGGGACAACATGAAATGAAGTAGCATATGCATAATAGGGCTGCCAGAAGGACAAGAAGAGCAGCAAGGATTAGAAAATCTATTTGAAGAAATAATGACAGAAAACTTCCCAGATATGGGGAAGAAAAAGTTACACAAGTACAGAGAGTTTCAAGCAAGATGAACCCCAAAAGACCCACACCAAGACACGTCATAATAATGATGGCAAATGTACAAGACAGAGAATCTTAAAAACTGCAAGAGACAGAGAGTCACCTACAAAGGGGGTCATAGTTGTTCAGTTAAATGGTTTGACATAGGAAACATTTTATAGCATTTTATAGTGAAATAAATATATGGAAATCTTCATTTGTAGCAGTTTTTAAATATTATGTTATCTCTGTATTCTAGCCCATGGCTATTTTTGTAAATAAAAGTTTTATTGGAACTTATGCTTGTACATTTATGTGTTGTCTGGCTGATTTCATGCTATAACACAGAATTGAGTACATAGTTGCAACACAACCATCTAGCCTCCAAAGCTCAAAATATTTACTATGCGGACTTCATAGAAAAAATTCTCCAACCTTAGTTCTACATCAGTGCTTTTCGCTAGTGATGTTAAATAATGAGGTTGCCTTAATTCAAATTATTTTTGTAACAACTTAACTATCATTTATTGTTTTCTTTCAATACTCTTTTAGTTGGAAGAACTAGAATTACAACTATTTCATGTGGTATTGCATATAACTCAGGATTTTATGCAAAAGGAAAGGACTGAAAATACCCTGTTATTAGCTTAAGCACCTAAAAACCTAAGTGTCCTTTCCCACCTTTCCCTTCGAGTCCGCTTTCTTTGTGATGCTCTCCTCTGCTCAGCAAGTCTCATAAGCCCAGGTTTATGTGCTTGTCAGTTTCCTTGCTGGTCTCTGTAAGGTAGCTTTGAAAAACTTTCATCAGACTGATACTTACTATAGTAGAAATGAAAGTATGAAAAATAAGTCAGTTTTTATTTGTCTTTATTATATTTCTATAGATTAACATTACTACAGGATACTCACCGCTCACATCAGAGGGAATATGAAAAATATGTTGAAGATGTCAAGAGCTCAAAGAATGCCATCCAGAACCTAGAAAATTCATCAAATCAAGCTCTAAATTTTAAATTCTATAAAAGCATGAAAATATATGTGGACAATTTAATTGACTGTCTTAATGAAAAGGTACATAGCTATAGATATTGATATCATCTATTTTTTATAGAGAAATTCTCATATCATGTGATTTACAAAAAGCCTAAATTCCACAACTAAATACTTACCTCTAGTATTTTTCCTTATACATTTTTATATACTATGATATTAAGCATTCACTTAATGTTGGATAGCTAGGAAAGTATAAAGTTTTGTATATAAATGTTTGCGTTAAACTTTCATCTGTTTAAGAAAAATTCCTAAAAAGTGAATTATTAAGTCACAGGGTCTAAATATTTCTAAGGCTTATGAAACATTGCTAAACTATCCTCAAGAAAGATTGTATGTTTTATTTTTAGTTTACTACATTAAAAAAGGTTATTTTTATATATTTACTTTTATCTCAGACAGACCCTTTGTTTTACTAACACATGTAGTTTTTCTTCTTTTGAATTATTTTTCCCCTTTGCCCGATTATCTTTGGTTCAATTGGGGATTTTTTCCCCCTTTTTTTCTTGTTTTATTTTTTTTTCCCCCCCAGCTTTTTATTGCTTTAAATTTTTAATTCTTTATCCTACTTGATGTAGATAAACTTTCTAGTTTGTTTTGTCTTCTGGTTTTGTTTTTGCATTGGTTTTCCAGCATCCACTTTTTTGAAATACTGTGTTAATCAGATTCATGAATCATTTTTTTCCTTTATAGTTTCTGTTTTTTTATATACACTCTAAGTCCATATATTAAGATCTTGAGTTCCTTTTTTTTAACCATTTTAGAAATACAGTACACTCTACTTTCTGCATTTTTTATTTACTATTATTTTAAGTTGACCACCTTTTAATATCACTTGGTAGTTACTTCCTGAAGTATTTATTACAATGTAGTTTTCGTCATTCATCCTTAAAAAATCACACCGTTAAAGTCTTACTGGTCTACACATTGATGTGCCCATAGCAACTGTGAAACATCATTGGAGTAGAGGAAATTACCTCAGAAATATAAGAATGCCAGTTTCAATTAATCACTCATTTCTGCCTCACAGCTTTTTTACCTGTCTAGTCAGTCTCTTCCATTCTCCACTTTTTATAATTTTACCAGTTTCCTCAAGTCCCCCCCATACCACAAACAGGCTGTTCCCTCAGCCTGTAAAAATGGCTACACCCAACAACCCATCATTTTCTCCTCTTCTATCTCAAACAAATAAAATTCTTCTTATCTATCCACTCTTATCTATGTTCCTGACTTCAGCCCATTTGGTTTCATTATTTATGATATTTATAGCTCTGCTAGTACAGTAAGGTGATTTTCTGGTTTTATTAATATTGACAATATTGGCAGCTAGGTCTGTTCCTCACAGCATTCTTTTTTTTTAGCTGAGAGGTGATAGATAGTATGCAAATGTTTGTATGAGAATTGAGCATATATACATGCTAATACATAAATAATTACATTTTATTATTTATTATTGATGATCCACAAAATGTTACTTATATATGTATTGCAGATTATCAACATCCAAGAAATAGAATCATCCATGCATGCACTCCTTTTAAAACAAGCCATGACCTTTATGAAACGCAGGCAAGATGAATTAAAACATGAATCAACGTATTTACAACAGTTATCACGTTAGTGTTTTACATCTTCAATATAATTCATTATTCATTATGCCAAATTATTAGCTAGAGAATAAAAATATTCCTGTATTTAAAAATAATGTTTTTAAGTATTTTTCCATGAATCTTTAACTGACTCCATTCTAAAAATCCCAAAACATTTACAGCTAGGGTTTTAAAAGGTCTTAAGTCTTAAGACTAAAAAATAAAAAATATAACTTCCAATTACTTCATATTGAGACAAAATATGTATATGGCCATTTAATGACTATTTTGATATGAGTTGACATAAATTCATAGACTTTGTCAGAAATTTAACTTTATAAAATTTCCATGACCCTTCCACAGATTGGTTATGGAAGTTAAAGAAATTCTGGTTGATTTCAGTATAGACTTACCTATAAAATCTCATTAAGATTGGGATGCTTTTAGTTCTCACACTGGTTTTGTATTTTCTAAGTTGTCTCCCTTTGATTAAGGTGCTCAAGGACAGTGAAAGTAATGGGACTATCAAGTAGGTGATAATAGCAAAAGCAAAATGACTTTCAAACAGGACATTGAGTTGGTCATGCATTATGGTATATGCCAAAATAGGAAATAATATGAATAACATATTGGTAATGCAAATGTATCTAGCACTTAGCTACATGGACCACAAAAAACTGGTGAAAACTATTAAAACAGGATCTGAGACAAAGAAATTAGAGGAATTTTGTTACTGTCCTCAATATATATTTTCTTAAGTTCACAAACTCAATGCCTATTAATATTGTGATAGGGAATTAACATTGCACTTTCATTGCATGATGTAATATAGAATTTAAGCATATGTGTTTAGATAGATAGATAGATAGATAGATAGATAGATAGATAGATAGATAGATAGATGTAAATATATATATACATACACACCCAAGATATTACTTTTGTTTTCAAAGTATTTCACTTTATTTCTTTTGAAAATAGGCAAAGCTGAGACATCAACAAATGGAAGCTTGGCTATAGATGAAAAAACTCAATGGATTTTAGAAGAAATTGAATCTCGAAGGTAGCTATATAAAGTGAAGACTTAAAAGCACCATTGAGCAAGTATTTTTCACTATTTAAATATAATGAACTACATGGTATAATTAACCATAACCTAACAAATTAATTTGTGAGAATGATGTAAAACCAAAATATAGCTTAGCAGTCTTAATTAAATATAATTTAAACCCTCAGTCCCAGGGTTTAAGTACACACTGGTGTATTTGGATCAGTCAGAAGGAATAAGTAAAATGGCATTTATGAGGCTGGAAATTGCTGCTAAGTAGAAGCCAGTCCTGATTGTATTGTTACCCATTCTTCAAAGTCTGTAGCCTATGGGAATATCCTAAATGGGAAGATAAGAAAAAAGAGGGAGACAACCAATTCAAAATAATGAAGCTTAAATGTCAAAAACATTAACATAAAATTGTGTGCCAATATAATGCTGTATTTCTGAGCATTTTAAATGAATTATGACTTCTACTTTCTGTTTTAAAGCATTTACTTTCAGCAGGAGCTATTTGTTTTTCATTGATTTTCAGTTTATTGAAAAATACAGGGCACAAAGAAGACAAGCAAGGGCACTTTCTGGGAATTGTGATCATCAGGAAGGGACATCTAGTGATGATGAACTATCTTCAGCAGACATGGCTGACTTCCAAAAAAGTCAAGGTCAGCCACCAACTTTTTAATGTATCTTTATTCGAAGTGGGAATTACTTCGTATTGATTGCTCTTAAATGCATAAATTGTATAAAATAGGAAATTTTAGGGGGGAAAAAGTGTTCTTGGAGACTTTTCCTACCTTTGAAAAACTGGGATAAAATGGAGGAGCATTATGAGTATCACTGCATGTTTATAGTTTTTTTCCCTCAGCCTTCCTCATTTCCTGTTATAAAGGAACCATGAACATTATGGGTTTCATTGCTCACCACGTACTTTCTGTAGTATTATCACTTGTAATTTAAAATAACTGAATATAGTAAAGCCATTTTACCATTATGAGAAGGTAAAAAATGTATAGTTGAAAGAGTTGTGGGCTTTGCAGTCAATGAGATGGCTTTGAAGAGGGCCTCCATTCAAGTGTGATCTTGTACAGATTCCTTGACTTCCCTAAATCTGATGGTGTTTGCTTGCTTGTTTATTGTCTGTAATAGGCTAGTAACACCTAACTTTTAGGAAAGATAGTTATGATGAAATGAGATCATGTATTTGTAATGTTTTGTCATATAGAAGGGGTTCGATAAATGGTAGATTTTGTTAGTATTGGTATTACTAAAGTGATTTTTTTAATAAAAACTAGTTTATATGTCAATATCAAAGGAAAGTTTTCAACTCAGTTGATTTTGTAGTTATATATGATTGCTTTATAGGAAGCTCGGTTAAAATGCGTAACAAAGACTCATTTTGTTCACAGATGACATTTTACAGGATCATAAGAAGATCTTTGAAGATGTGCATGATGATTTTTGTAATATCCAGAATATTTTGTTAAAATTTCAACAATGGCGAGAAAAGTTTCCTGATTCTTACTATGAAGCTTTCATTGGTTTATGCATACCAAAGCTTTTAAATCCCCTAATACGAGTTCAGTTGATTGATTGGAATCCTCTTAAGGTATTTAAGCTTAACATGTGAAAAATCCTGATCACATTAGTTACTTAAATTCCCTTGTTATTAGGTTAGCTATAAAATACCTCACCTTTAGAGTTGGAGTTGATAGTTGGTGATTTGGAGTAATAGTCTACATCTACCTTTTCTTGGTTTACACTTTATTTTTGAGGCTGAGTGACACTAAACACCAGTAAAGGAAACATTTTTTTTTTTAAAGCTGCTGCTTTGGTAAGTTTAAGGTCACTCAAAAAATAAAGGTAGTTTTAGGCCTTAAGAATTTTACAGTCTTGGGAAATCGACATGTACCAGTTCTGAAGTTGGAGATGACATCTTGGGAATAGTTAGTTAGTGAAGCTAGTGCATTGAGGAGGAGGAGGGATTTTAATGGGGATTTGAAAGGTATACAGGACTTAAACGGGAGGGGAAAGAGGAAAAGGTATTTTGTAAAGGTGCATAGGGAGAAATAGAGTTCAGGAGGTAGACCCTGCACAGTGTTCAGGTCCTAAATTAAGATGTATGAACTTGCTTTGGTAAATAATGGGAGGAGTGACATGATGAAAGTAATGGTTTGGGAAATCCTAGCAGTAGGCTAACTTAGAGGGAAGGAAGATAAAAGGTGGGGGTATATATTGGAAGGATTTGCTGTAGCTCAAGTCCAAGGTGATGAATTTCTTACGTAGGGTGGTAGTAATGAAAAGAGAAAAAAGAGTTGATTACAAGAGGTGTTATAAAGCAAGAATCTGTAAAATGCTAAGTATAAACCTAACACCCCACATCCATATATACCCCAACATTTGGATTCTGGGTTGTTAGAACAATGGTAGTTTCATTAATAGAAATGGGGACTTTTCAGAAAGGGAACAGTTTTTGAAGGAAGTTTCACTTTATAGAGAATGAAATAATAACAGGACATCTGTCTAGATATGCCTGATAAGGAAACAGAAATGAGATCATGAAATTCTAGGAAGAGAGGGGAGCTGAAGGTGAAGATTTAACAAAGAGAAGAATGGCGTCATGTCCTTTTATCTTTCTCTGCCCTAGTCATGCATGGCTGTTGGCTCTGTATTAGGTTCAAGGCCATACAGTCTTCATAGTATAGGAACCAAGCTTCTCTCAAAGTGGTAGGTAGTTGATGGCACAGCAGCCTAGTTGTTAACCACTCAAGCTGAATGGAGTACTCTGTTAGGTCCAGCAGAGATCCATTAATTCGTTCATTCAACAAATAACTGGCCATTTGTTATTTGCCTAGTAAGCTAAATCACAGGCAAAATACACATTTGTTCTTATGAGACTTGAGGGAGCCAGAAATGAATTTTGCACAAGGTAAATAAATTTGTATAAATAAATAAGAATAGCACTTATTGAGTTATCTTCTTAAAAATGTGTATTTTGCTCCTGACAGTGCTTGCAGTATAGTCAGCTTTTAACATACAGCGGGCATTTTGGGATTTGTCATAAAAATGTATGAAACGCATGCATATTGCATAGACATCCTGTCTTACTCTTGTCATCCTGCCTAGCTTTGGTGTTCTAGTACTGTATATATGGAGTTAAAATATGGAATTATTTGCTTTTGATCCTTAGAAAGCTCCAGTAGTTACTGAAAAAGTTAGCCATTTAAAAATAAGCTAATGCATAAGAATTTATTTATAACTGATAATTTTATTTATAAGTTTGATTCCATAGGTTTAAAACAGATGCCATGGTTCACATCTATAGAAAAATTTATAGATAATAGTATGGAAGATTCAAAGAAGGAAGATAGTTCTGATAAGAAAATCTTGTCTTCTGTCATCAACAAAACAATTATTCCACGACTTATAGGTACTGATTAAATTGTTTTGGGGCAAAATATAAGATCATTATTTTCTGTTACAGTTACAATTTTTTTTCTTAGAAGTTTTTTAATACAAGAAAATGTAATAAGCAGTAAAAATCAACAGGTGTCATAATTTAAGCTGGTTAAAAAATGCTTGTTGGTGCAGTTAATTTGCTATCAAACTGTTGATAATCTTTAGCCTTTAGCATTTGTGATATTAGTATTGCTTTTATAACTCCTAGGTCATTAATTAGTGGCACATTTCTATCCCTACTACCTGTATTATTTTCTCTTCCCTAACTTGTCCCCTTAAGTTTCTCCTCAGTACTGCCCTGGCCAGTGTAGCTCAGGGTTCACTTGAGTTTCATGGTGATGAATTTAAAGTGTTGTTTTTTCCAGCCACTTTTTAGTTGCATGATTGCAAGAACAGACTCAGTGACAAGGTGGATTTAACAAGGGGTGGTTTAGCCAGAGAAATTCAGCAAAACCCAAAAGGACAAGGAAATTGAGGATGCATGCAAATATGTAATGGTAATGATTGGTGTGGATTTTAAACCACAAAAGGCAGCAATCTTTGCTAAAAAGCTTCAGTTGTTTATATATAACAAGCAAAGCAATTGAGTAAATAATTGTGCACCACTGAAATTTTTGTTTCAGACTTTGTAGAATTCATATGGGATCCTTTGTCAACCTCACAGACAACAAGTTTAATAGCTCACTGCAGGATGATTCTTGAAGAACATTCCACTTGTGAGAATGAAGTTAGTAAAGGCAAACAGGTAATAATTTCTAGAGTTATAAATTTCTTAATTTATTTATAAATCAATATAATTTATTATAAGTCTTTGTTTACAGAAGAAGCACAAGAAGTAATTATCAGAAAACAATTTGGGGGGAAATATACTTAGTTCTGATTTATAGAAACTAGGGCTCTGGCCAGTGTGGTTCAGTGGTTAAAGCCTCAGCCCACCAAAGGGCTGTGGGTTTGATTCCTAGTCCAGGGCACATACCTCAGTTGCAGGTTCAATCCTCCACCCAAGTTGGGGAGCATTTGTGAGGCAACAAACTTATGTATGTGTGTCTCTCTCCCCATTCCTCCTTCCTTCCTTTCACTCTGTCTGAAAATCAAGGGAAAAAGTATCCTCAGGTAAGGATTTAAAAAGACAACAACTGCATTTTAATGAGGGTGTAAGTAAATAGGTTTTCTCATACAGAGCCAGTGGGACTATAAATGGGATACCACTACTACTTCCTAAATACATGGGCAAGAACTTTCATAGCAACGTTATTCATAATAGCCCCAAACTGGAAACCATCTAAATGTCCTATCAGTAGCATTCATGCAACAGAACACTGTACGGCAGTGAAAATGTACCAACTACAGTGACATGCAATAACATGGATGAACGAAGTTCTCTGGTACCCAGTTGATATTTTAACACCTAATTCGGTGTGTGTACAAAATAAATTACTTCTTTTGGTAAATATATTTCAACCCATGACTATCACTGATGCTTTTAAATTTTCAAATAATAGGACTTACTTAAATCCATTGTTTCAAGAATGAAGAAAGCAATAGAAGATGATGTTTACATTCCTCTGTATCCAAAAAGGTAAGAGCTATTAATGTCTAGATTGTATAAAATAATCATGTAATACAGATTTAAGAATGCAATACAAAAGAAACTATACTAAGTATTTTCAAAGTATACATTCCCTATTTAGACACAAATTAAGATTTCAATATTTCTCAGTTACTTTCTATATACCATGTCCAAAGCTTGACACTTGGAGATAGGGTGGTTTGTTTTTAATGTTATTCTTAAGAACATGATAGGTGGCATAGCAGAGTAATGAAAAGCCCAGATTCACCATTTATAATAATAAAAGGGTAATATGCTAATTAGACCGGACAGGGCTCGAGGGAAGCCCAGGTCCCGGGTGCCTGCGGGCAGCCGGAGGGAAGCCAGCTGGGTCCCAAGTGCTAGAGGGAAGCCGGTGCTGGCAGCCCGGGGAAGGAAGGCCTACTCTTTCACAAATTTTGTGCATCGGGCTTCTAGTTACTAGATAATGACCTTGGGCCTTTCTCTGTCCTCAAATGTAAAATGGGACATTAAATTAATGCCCACATTAAAGGACAGTGTGAAGATGAAGAGTGCGCCAAACAATGCCTGGCACAGAGAAAGCACAGCAGAAGGCCTGGAACATCACTGTGGGGCCAGAAACTGCATCTGTGAATTCTGTATTTACTTAAATTATGAAAGTATTATTTGATGCATGTTTATACATTTGCTAAGAAGACATCAGTTATAGTTATGGATCATGATCTGAAGCTACTCAGCAAGTACTCACAGGATTGAAGAGTTAAATGTTATATTTAAAATAAAAAGTCTTAGTCCATCCCACTCCTGACCTCCATCCACCCAATTTTTGACCTTTCTCCACTGTGTACATGAATGCATGCAATAATAATAATCAGTAATTTTTTTACCTTTCCAGTTTCTTTATGCAGTTAGAATTAAATACTTATATATTGTAATCTTATTTCCTCGCCCTTTCTAGAGCAAAGAAAGTATATTGTAAATAGTTGTACACTGGTTTTTTGACTTAGTACATCTTTGAAATCTTCATCTAAGTAGTTTGTCATCATATATATCATCATAAAAGTAGTTTCCTCATTTCTTTTTTAAGCTGCATTAAATATGCTATCATGTAGGTGTACTGTAACTGATGGGCATATAACTGGCAAATTATTACCAACAGTGTTGTGAATAATGTTATAGATATTCTGTACATGTGTAAGTATATCTACAGAAGCCATTCTCAAAAATAGGTTTGTTAGGTCAAAGTGTGCATGCATTTGTAATTTTTATATTATATTCCATTAAAGTTTAGTGTGATTGGTTAAAAAATAACACTCAGTTTTTTAAACTCTGTTTCTGAAAGATTAACAGTTCTTTGTATTTTCTCCTTTGTCTTTCATTTCACATTAGTGCTGTAGAAAACAAAACATCACCACATTCAAAGTTCCAAGAAAGACAATTCTGGTCAGCTCTAAAGGTAAGCAGAGAATTGCAAAAATAAAAAAGAATTTTCTTTTATCTCCAGTTTACTATATATTCCACTAGTAGCCCACTGCACGAAATTTGTGCACATTGAAAGGGAATTAATTAGAGGAACGTAATTTGGACTCACTGTCTAATATCAATAATATGTAAGCGTGAGGCAGTCCACGTTTCTGAAATTCAATGACATGAATTTTAGCTATTACTTTGCCAAATAAATGGAATTTACAGATATCATTTAAAAGAGCATTCAGCTTAATATTAAAAACTGGCTACCAAGTCAGGTCTGTTTTCAACTTTTTGTCAGCATTGTAAATTGTTTGCAGTATCTGCCCATTTGGGATTGCATGTCATGGTTACAAATAAATCGGGCTTGCCATACTTCGTTACAATTGCCATAGCATCCTGATATTGCTGCTGCATGTTTCTGGGACTACCCTCAGAAGATGATGGAAGTATTATCATTTTACCAATCGGCACATTGTCATTTTCAGATCTAGATTTGAGATAATCCATCAATCCACTATATTTTTCAACTCTCAACTTAGATTGGTTTGCTTTGATAAAATTTATCTGATTGGCCTCCATTTTTTAATATGAATCCATGATAAACTGTTGAGTTAATTTTCCTGCATTTAAAATAGGATTGAATGTGTCCCGCACAGAGAGCTCAAATCCATAATACTGCATTTGTGTGACTCGTGTCCTTACATTTTGTCTAGTATTATCGTTGATTACACTGTTGTCTCTGAGTCTTAATGCAATATCTGTTCCCCAGCCTTTTTCACCATGTGGGAAAAGAATAGGATATGTCATTGCATCTAATGTAGGAAACAGGATATTGATTTGTTTCATTTTAGTGGCATTTGGATTATTGGGATCTGGTTTACAATGAATGAGCAAGTCCCTTTCAAAAGGAGGTTCTCCATCTTGGTTTCTGAATATGACAGCAACCTCGGTTACACGGAGAGAATTATATCTACCTGGGTCACTGTTACGATCGTATTTAATCGCCATTGTTACTTCTGTGGGAGCAATACCTTTTGCTGCTTCAGATTGGGCTTTTCTACCTGATGTAGCATCTTGTACGATTTTGTTAATTCATTTATGTCATGCATGAGGTTGTTGATGTTGATCAGGAGTCTTTCTGAGAAGCCCTGGTTTTCTGGTATTGCTAATCTTTTACTTGTAGCTTCAGCTGTATCCAAAATAAAGAGTTGAGCAAACTTCTGAGAAACACCATCCGAAGGATGTAAAGTTCTAGTACAGTGATAAACTTGTCTGTGTATTCTAAAACAGTATGGCCCATATCCTGATGGTGATGCAATATTTGCACCCATGGAAGCAAAAGAACTATTTATGGAACAAATATTTTCCATGAAATTTTTACTGTCAGAATCTTCATTTGTCATTAATCTTTTTAAATATGTTGGGTAATCTGGAAAATGTATATCATTTGGACAGACTTTCCCTTTGCTATAACATCGAGTAAATTTCCCATCGGATGGTTTTTCATCAGAGAAATTTAGTGATAGGCAAAATTCACATCAGTCATTCCACCACAACTATGTTCGAGAATTGCATCCTCATATACTCCATTTTCACTGAGAAGGCAGTTCCTACTGATATTGGTAGTACTTGTTAATGACTATTTTCTAGATATATTCTGTCATCGCCACCGCTTTCTTTCAACTTCAAAGGCACATTGGTCTTTAGACATTTTCTGTCAATAATGCCGGTGTTTTTTGGCATCAGAGTGACGTTTTTACAGTAGCTGATGTTCAGATACATCCTGTCGCAGGCGCTGCCTTCTTTCAAGATCAGATGCACGCCGCTCTGCAGACATATTCTGTCGATAACACCAGCATCTTTCGGCTGCAGAGCCACGTTGTATCAACAGTTGTTCTTTAGACGTAGTCCCACCTCTCTACTGTCACAGTCTGAGATGCAGGTGAATGAGAGTCCTGGCTATCAGGCTGCTGAGAGCTGTCTGACCAAAGGCTGATTCTGGCTGATTCTGTGGTGGTGGGACTTCCTCCTCCCTGCTGTTAGTTTCCACAGCTGTGATGAGGAAGGTGGGGTGACAGAGGGAGCCGTGCCCTCCAAGCTGCCCTCTCTCTCGCTCTGCTCTATGTCCAGTGGTCTCCTGCTCTGCCAAGCCCTCCAAACCTCCACGCTCTCTGCCAGCAAGGTCCCAGGAGCCCGCAGGCATGGCTAGGTGCAGGCGGCCTCGCCTCCCAGACCGGTGAAGGTCCTGGGAGCCTGCAGATGGGGCTACGGCCTCACCTCCCAGGCCTGCGAAGGTCCTGGGAGTCCACGGCCACGGCCACCCTTGCCTCCTGGGGTGCCTGACAACTGCGTATGCAAATTAACCGCCATCTTTGTCAGGTTAATTTGCATAGTCACTCTGATTGGCTTGTGGGCGTGGCTTGAGTGTAACAAAGGGGTGGCTAATTTGCATGTTCCTCTTTTATTATATAGGACTAGAGTCCCGGTGCACAAAAATTTGTGCACTCAGGGGGAAAGGGGGGGTCCGTCAGCCCGGCCTGTGCCCTCTCGCAGTCTGGGACCCCTCAGCGGATGACCACCTGCTGGCTTAGGCCCACTACCCGGGGAATTGGGCCTAAGATAGCAATCAGACATCCCTCTGGCAGCCTGGCAGCCCTCGGGGGATGTCCACTTGCCAGCAGGGAGCAGGCCTAAACTGCAGTCGGACATCCTTAGCGCTGCTGAAGAGGCAGGAGAGGCTCCCACCACCACCGCTGTACTGGCAGCCATCAGCCTGGCTTGTGGCTGAACAGAGCTCCTCCCATGTGAGAGCGCCCTGACCACCAGAGGGCAGCTCCTGCATTGAGCGTCTGCCCCCTGGTGGTCAGTGTGTCATAGTGACCAGTCATTCCCAGTCTTTCTGCTGTTAGGGTCAGTTTGCATATTACCCTTTTACTATATAGGATAGAGGCCTGGTGAATGGGTGGGGGCCGGCTGGTTTGCCCTGAAGGGTGTCCCGGATCAGGGTGGGGGTCCCCACTGGGGTGCCTGGCCAGTCAGGGTGAGGGGCTGAGGGCTGTTTTCAGGCTGGCTGGTGACTGAAGCTCCCAACCTCTCCTTTTTTTTTTTTTTTATTCTGGGATTTATTTACCTTCTATGGCTGTCATTGGAACTGAGAGCCGGCTTTAGCTCTGAGGCTCGGCTCCAGCTCTGAGACCTCGGCTGCTGAAAGCAGGTTTCTGGGGTTTGTTTAGCTTCTATAATTGCAACATTATTTCTTAGCGCACAGCTCAGAGGCCGGCAGTGGCAGGCGGGGAACCTTGGCTTCCTCCATCACTGGAGCAAGCAAGCCTCCTGTTCGCTTCAGCTGTCTGGCTGCTGGCCGCCATCTTGTTTGGCAGTTAATTTGCATATCGCCCTGATTAGCCAATGGGAAGCGTGTCAGAGGTACGGTTAATTACCTGTTTGTCTATTATTAGATAGGATTACTATGTCAATGAACTTCTATAGAGGACTAGACTATCCTTGCCACATAGTCCCTGTTGAACTATTCAGCTTTGGTGCTGTAGTGTAAAAACAGTCACAGACAATTCATAAACAAATGAGCATGGCTGTTTCAATAAAACCTCACTATGGACACTGAAATTTAAATATCATATAATTTTCACGTCACAAAATTTTCTTCTACTTTTTTCAATCACTTAAAAATATAAAAACCATTCTTAGTTCACCAGCTCTGCAAAAACAGACAGTAAGTTGGATTTAACCCACAAACCATAGTTGGCTAACTGCTGGTCTAAAAGGTAAAAGAAGAATTCAATGCTAATCAGTGGCAACGGGGATGATAAAGAGAAGATGGGTTCAAAAGATATGTAGGCTGAACCACTGTAAGGACTTTGATGACTGATTAGTAACATGTGAAGGATGTAGAGTGCTAGCCAAGGTTCTGACGTTAGCAGCCTGGTAATTTATGACATTCTTTGGGGACATTGGAGGGGATATAGGAAGAACAGGTTTGGGAGGAAAGATAAGATCTGTTTTAGACATAGTAAACTGAAGATTCCTGATAGAAGGTCTAAGAGGCAATTGGATATGTGAGTCTGAATTATAAGGGACAAATCTGAGCTAGAGATTTGGGGATCAACCACATGTGGTATTTGGAGCCATAGTCATGAATACAATCTTTGGAGAGATTAGATGAAGCATGAAAAGAAGGCCAAGGACAGGCCTTGGGAAACACTGACACAACAGGTGGGCAGAGAAAATGGAGTCTCAAAGAAGCCTTAGAATGAACTATGAAACTTAGAATGGTCACAAGAGAGTTCTGGCATCAGGGAAACTAAGCAAGGGGTTATTGAGAATTAAGACAGTGTTAAAATGCCACTGAAAAGAATTAGGAGAAAGCCTGAAAATGTTTATCAGAGTTTACTATTAGGAGATCATAGGTGAGCTCAGCAAAAATAGTTTCAGTAGGGTGAATTCATGTTTGTCATGTGGTTGAGGCGGGAAAAAGGCTTTCCAGGAAGAGGGAGCAGTATCACAAGGACAATGTATAAAAAAGCATTGCATATTAGTACAATTTCATGTAGATTAGCACTTAGAAGTAATAAATACAGTACTGGAAAGAAAGTTGAAAGCACTAAAATTCACAAATAGTTCTGGATTTAGAGGAGGGAAAGGCAACCCATATTAATTGTATTAGAATTTCTTTTGAGTATTTTATCCAAGTTATCTCCAAACTTACAGGTTATTATTAATCTTATATATACACACAATGAGGCTCTCGGGTTTGATTGATTTCTGAAGGTCCACATTGGTAGCAGCGGCACTGGCTTAAATGGCAGTCCTTTGAATCCTGGGGCCCTGTGGTCTTGCATATAGTGGCTCCAGACTCTGGGAGAGTATGGATTTATAAAGGCTCCCAGCAAATTTATTTGAGATGGATTTTGGATGGTTGTCCTAAAAAATGAAAATAGGATGAGCAATTATGTGGAGGTTGGAATGTAT